ACGCCGTGGTCGATGACGGTGCCCAGGGGAGGGGACACAAACTCCTCTCCTGTCAGGCAGTAGAAGTTGGTGCTCAGCTGCTTCTGCACCACCACGACCACGAGGCTGGGCTGGTAATTTTGGAAGGTGTGGAAGCTCTTCTGGAGCTGGGGCACCTCGTACTTGAGCACAGTGTCCAGCTGAGGGTCGGACACCCCATCCCGGTACACCACGATCTTCATGGGCAGGGAATGGTTCAGCTGGGGGGGAAAAAATGGGTAAAATCAGCTCATTTTTACCTCCCTGCCATGCACAGGGTTAGCTGAGGGAAGTGGGGAAATATTCCCTGGTCAGGAGAATATTTGGGTGTTGGGATGGAGCTGGGAATTGAATGAGTCCCCACAGAAATGCAGCTCGGGGTGGGTTTGGGGATGTGTTTGAATTATCACGGAATTCCAGAATTATTTAGGTGGGAAGGAGCCTTAAAATCAGCTCATTCCACCCCCTGCCATGGGCTGGGCACCTCCCAGTATCCCAGGGTGCTCCAGGCTGGCCTTGGACACTGCCAGGGATCCAGGGGCAGCCACAGCTGCTCTGGGAATTCCATTGAGCCAGGAATTCCTTCCCCATCTCCCATTCCTCCTCCCAGCACATTCCCAGTGTCCAGGGCTGTGCCTGCAGCACCCACAGAGGGATGGGGAAATAAAATCAAAGAATCCTGGAGTGGTTTGGGCTGGAAGGGACCTTAAATCTCATCCCACCCCTGCCATGGCAGGGGCACTTCCCATCATCCCAGGGTGCTCCAGCCTGGCCTTGGACACTTCCAGGGATGGGGCAGCCACAGCTGCTCTGGGAATTCCATCCCAGCCAGGAATTCCCAATTCCCAATATCCCATCCATTCCCTGTCCATCCAGGCCCTCCTGCCCAGCACATTCCCAGTGTCCAGGGCTGTTCCTGCAGCACCCACAGAAAAATGGGGAAATAAAATCAAACAATCTTGGAATGGTTTGGGCTGGGAGGGAGCTTAAAGCCCATCCAGTGCCACCTGTGCCATCCCAGGGAACCTCCCACCAGCCCAGGTTGCTTGGACACGTGCAGGGATGAGGTTTCTCTGGTAAAATCCCAAGAGCAGGGATTTTCCCTGGCCCTTACCCTGTCCCAGGCTGCTTTTCTCACGCTGGGGACAAGGGACAGCCCCTGGAGCTGGAACGTGGCACTGCCCCCTGAGCACGGCCCCAGATAAGGATGAGCTGTCGCAGTCCACAGCCAGTCCAAAGGCTGCAGGCAGGTTTGCTCCCCTGCACATCCCCAGGCTGGAATTTTGGGAGGTTTTCCCTTGGTTTTGGGGGAATTTGGAGCCACAGCAGGGTGGTTTGGGGCGGCCTCACCTCGTAGAATCGTTTGAGGGCTTGGGAGAGGCAGAGCCGGAGGCTGTCGGCGATTTCCTGGTGGGGCATCTGGAAAACCACCCTGGAGTACCACTTGGTGAGGATGCTGGGAGGGATGGAAGGGCAGTGAGCAGCCTGGAGGAGCCCCCCCAGCAGCAGGCAAAGCCCACTGAGCTCTGAGCAACCCCAAAGCAGCCCTGGGGCAGCCCTGGCTGAGCTCTGGGGGACAGCAGCACCCTCAGCCCCTTCCCAGGCAAGGAAAGGAGATTTGGGGGTGGCAAATCCCAAAATTGCCAGGGCAGGGAAGGAAAATCATTCTCAGGGAGCCACGTACTGGTTCATGCTGGCCACGAAGCCGATGACAGAGCGCATGCCGTGGCTCCTGCTGTGGTGGATGTCCATGCCCACCACCATCAGCTGCTTCTGGANGAGGGAATTGGGATTTGGGATTCCTGGAAAAGGGGATGGAGCCAGGTCCAGATCCCTCCCAGAAACTGCTCTCAGATATCCCAGAAATGGGATTTGAGATTTCCAGGAAAGGGGATGGAGGCAGGTCCAGATCCCTCCCAGAACCTGCTCCCAGCTGTCCCAGAAATGGAATTTGGGATTCCCAGCAAAGGGGATGGATCCAGTTCAAGTCCCTCCTAGAAACTGCTTCCAGCTGTCCCTGTCCTTGGGAGAATTGGGATTTGGGATTTAGGGAAAAGGGGATGGATTCAGGTCCAGATCCCTCCCAGAAACTGCTCCCAGCTCTCCTAGAAATGGGATTTGGGATTCCCAGAAAAGGGGATGGAGCCAGGTCCAGATCCCTTCTGGAACCTACTTCCAGCTGTCACTGTCCTTGGGAGAGGGAGGGAATTGAGATTTGGGATTTGGGTAAAAGGGGATGGAGCCAGGTCCAGAACCCTCCCAGAAACTGCTCTCAGCTATCTCAGAAATGGGATTTGACATTTCCAGGAAAGGGATAGATCCATCCCAGAGGGTGCTCCCAGCTGTCCCTGTCCTTGGGAGAGGGAGGGAATTGAGATTTGAGATTTCCAGGAAAGGGGATGGAGCCAGGTCCAGATCCCTCCTGAATAGGGAGAAATGGGATTTGGGTAAAAGGGGATGGAGGCAGGTGCAGATCCCTGGAACAGGAAGAAATGGGATTTGGGATTTGTGGAAAAGGGGATGGATTCAGGTCCAGATCCCTCCCAGAAACTGCTCCCAGCTATCCCAGAAATGGGATTTGAGATTTCCAGGAAAGGGGATGGATTCAGGTCCAGATCCCTTCTGGAACCTACTTCCAGCTGTCCCTGTCCTTGGGAGAGGGAGGGAATTGAGATTTGAGATTTCCAGGAAAGGGGATGGAGCCAGGTGCAGATCCCTCCTGGAACAGGGAGAATTGGGATTTGGGATTCCTGGAAAAGGGGATGGAGCCAGGTGCAGATCCCTCCTGGAACAGGGAGAATTGGGATTTGGGTTTCCTGGCAATGCAAGTGGATTTGGGTTCAGATCCCTCCCAGAAGCTGCTCCCAGCTCTCCCTGTCCTTGGGATGGGGAGAAATGGGATTTGGAG